AAATAGCTTCCCACATGTTGCCATCAATTAACTTTGCTTAAATGACAACAGAAAACACGTATGTGTGGATAAGATACGGAATAATAAGAGTATTAACTTCTTTAAATTTTCCTAAAATTTAATAACTAACTTCTATTGTACTTATTTGGAACAATAAGTTGGAATAAATTTGGAATAGTGGGACAGTTATTTGCAAAAGCTCTGCTAGTACTTCCTTTTTGACAAATTCATCCAGTGATGTGCAAAGTTTACCAGAAAAAAAATAAAAATAACTTATTGTCTGTGTTCTTGCTCTTATCATTTTCTCCAAGAAAGACTGATGCTGGAAGGTGGGGGGTGCTGGATGAAATGAGAACTACAACAGCTGATCTCAGGCAGTTCCTCTTAATGGGGTACTTTTTGTTTCTGCAGGTGATCAAGTAACCTACACTGAGGTGAAAAGGAGGTGGAAATCTGACACACAGGATAGTAAACCGAAGACTTCATATCAAAGCACTGTAACACAGCAGGAAGTTTGAAACTTTCTCATTATATGTTATCTGCTTTGTTTATCATTGTAATTACACATTTGCATGTAATGGAAGAGTTGCTCGGTGTTAGATATCCAGAGAGATGTAGGTATGGTTTAGGCAAATTTGAAGTTTGGGGACATTGTGCCTGGGAGCAAGTGGTGACCTTAGGGCACATTGCTGTAGGCAGTGTTGTGTCTGTGCTGTTCACTGCATGCAGCCTGGAACACAGCAGCTCAGTAGAGCTTCTGGCCTCTCCCTTCTTCAGTTGTGTTTTGGTTCAGAAATGTCTGAATTTAAACACTAAAAAAGCATGGGTTACTTGTTTGCTTGTTTGTCTGTTTTGTTTGTTTTCTGAGTTTGTTTTTGTTGCTGTTGTTTGTTTGGTGGTGATTGAGTTGGACTGGTTTTGTTGGGTTGGTTTGCTTGCACAGCATAGCACAGAAAACACTGTGACATGCTGCCAGGAACTGGATGAGATTCTCACATAAACAATGCTAATAACCTTAGAATGTCATGGTATAGATCAGTTCTGGGGAAAAGGAGTTGTCACTCCCCATGTCTGTACCATTAAAAAGGAAAGATTCTGTGAAATATAACTAGGATTCCTCCAAGAAGGAACCAGTTAGATCACCCCAGAAGCAAATGAATGTGCATCATGCAGGCACTGAGTCCTGCTGGAGGACCAGGTCCTGAAGCGGAACAAGTGGCAGACAAACTGCTATCTCATGCCTTTAGCGAGTAGATCTGTACCAAACACAGCAACTCCACACTCATTCAGCCCACAAATACCCCATTTGTATGGAGTACAGGACGGCATCACTCTCCATCTTTTCTGCAGATAATTCTGATCTGTTTTTCTCTGCTCACTGCTGCTGAGAGGATGCTTAGAACATATGGTTAAAGTTTTGCAATAGACACAATAGAAAACTTTTTATTCTTTTTAGGAATGATTTCCACGTATTGTTTTTCATTTCCAGATGCGTTTAGAAACAATAAACAGATTGGCAACATCATTTAAAGCACAGAAATTGAATTATTTTTAGAAAGTGATAGATAATTAGGACTTAATAACTTCTATCTGATCTTTTCTGAAGTGTGAATGTTAAGATGCATAACATTAGGACTGGGACCTGTCCCTAAAGTAAATTTTGTTTTTCAAAGTAAAATAATATTGGATATGAGTTTTAATTTGCATGTATGAGATCAACACGAGTAAAAGATGGAAAGAAAATATTTGCACTCATGCAATGCAGAAGAACAACAAGCTATTTTTAGAAAAGAAAAAGTTAGCTGCGGAAAGTGCTAAGTGAGAAGAAATGTTCCCACAAATGTGCTGGGTTAATCTGGCCTTGCTAGAGGGGAAAAGAAACTGAAAGTTTCAGACAATGTTTCTTATTAAAAGTGGCGGTCAGTGAGAAAGGAAAGTGGATTAAATGCATATCTCATTTGTTATAAAGGTAAAACCAGTCCTGCTGTTATAAAGGTAAAACCAGTTTACTGGCTTCTCTTAAATTCACTCTTATTTTGTGTAGCTGAATTTGGGATTGTACAGCAGAATCAAAAGTATTGTAAGTGATGTAATGTATTGTTTTGACATTTCATCATCTTCTGTTTGTTGAACGCCTTTTTGTACTTCAGTCCTCACCTCCTTCCCTTCTCTGATTTTGCCTATGGTATCCATATTTCCGGGCTTGCAGAATTTTAGAATCAGAAAATCAGTATAGAATCATAGAATAATACGAGGTGGAAGATGCCCTTGAGTATCACAAGGTCAAACTCTTGGCTTCACGCAGGACCATCCAAAAATCAGACCGTATGTCTGAGAGTGTTGTCCAGAATCTCTTGAACTCTGGCAAGCTCTGTGCCATGACCACTTTCTTGGGGAGGCTGTTCCTGACCTCCCTCTTGGTGAAGAACACTTATCTGAATCAACCTGAATCACTCCTGTCTCAGCTTCATGGCATTCCTTCAGGTTCTCTCACTGGTCACCAGAGAGAGATCAGTGCTACCCCTCTGCTCCCTATTGTGAGGAAGCTGTAGGCCATGATGAGGTCTACTCTCAGTCTCCTCCAGGCTGAACAAACCAAGGAACCTCAGCCACTCCTCATATTCTTCCCCTCTATATCCTTTACCATCTCACAGTACTCAAGGTGAGGCTGTAAAAGTGCAGTGTAGAGTGGGACAATCACTTCCTTTGACCAGCTAGCAATTCCATGCTTGATGCACCCCAGGATATGATTGGCTTTCCTGGCTGTCTGTGCACACTGTTGGTTCATATTCAACTCACTGCTGACCAAGACTCCCAGAACACTTTCAGCAGTGTTTTTCCGCAGAATCTCATCCCTAAGTTTATATGCATAGCCAGGATTGCCCTTTCTCAGGTGCAGAACCTGGCACTTGCTCTTGTTAAACTAACTTCATGCAGTTAGTGATTGCCCAGCCCTCTAATTTGTCTAAATCTCTCTGCAAGGCATCTCCACCCTCAACAGAGTCAGCAACTCCTAACACTCCAATATTAAATCAGTATTGTCAGCAAAAATACTCAGAGCATCCTTCAGGCCTATATCCCAGTCATTTATGAAAATATTAAAAGAGAACTGAACTGTTTCTAAAATAGAGCCCTAGGGAACTCCACAACTGACTGGTTGCCAGCCTGATGTAACTCCATTTACTATAACTCTTCTTATCTGACCTGTCAACTGGTTGCTCACCTATTGCATTGTGTTTCTGTCTAACTGTATGCTAGACAAAAGTATACTGTCCAGAAGGATATTGTGAGAAGCAGTATCAAAAGAGTTACTGAAAACCAAAAACATAACATCAGCTAGCTTCCCTTGGTCAACTAGATGGAAGACCTTGCCAAAAAGGAAAGTAAATTAAACAGGACCTTCCTCTCATGAATCCGTGTTGGCTGTAACCAGTAACTGCACTGTCCTTCAGGTGTTTTTCAACAACTCTCAGTGTAATTGTCTCCATAATTTTACCAGGCACTGAAAGTGATACTGACAGTCTTCCAACTACCAAAGCCTTCTTTCTTGGCCTTTTTGAAAATTGGCCAGATTTCAACAATATTTGCCAGCTTTCAGGCAACTGGAACCTCTCCAGATTCCCAAGACTATTGAAAAATAATTGAGGGAGTTTTCATAATTACATCAGTCATCTGTCTGAGTACCCTGGGATGAAACCCTTTGGGTCCCATGGACTTATATGCATCCAGGTGGGGCAGCAAATCCCACGCTAGTTCGAGGTTGGCTGGGAGTTGATCATTACCACAGTCACGATCCTCCAACTCAGGGCACCTGAGGTGCCAAAGCCCATCATCAGTGTTGAAGACAGAGGCAAATAAGGCATTAAACATCTCTGCTTTGTCTATGTCCCTGAGTGTAAGGTGACCATTCTCATCAAATAATGAACAAATGTTTTCTCTGGTCCTCCTTATGATGTTAACATATTTTAAAAAACCTTTATATTGTATCCACCACAGTATTGGCCATCTTTAACTCATGTTCTTCACTGAAACGTCTTTAAAGGTCACAGAAATTAGATGTCCGTTCTAATTCTTGTTTATATTTTATTATTTTTTTTTATCATACAGATCAGTATGAAAAGTGTGAAGGAATAAGGATCAGAGGAACACAAGCACAGATATTCTGGGCAGTATTACAGTGCCAAAAGCAGAAAATGATGAAGGCAGGGATTTAACAACTAATTAAACACATATTTCTTTGTTGTGTTTATAAAGAGTGTTAAAAGTCCATCCGGGAAAAGCAGTCTGTAGAATTCTGAATTACCCATGAAAACTTCTTCAAAAAGCCTGAAGGAGAACATCATAATTTTCTTCTGAGTGTTCAGCTATGTAAATTCAGAATAATCCATGTTAGCACCACTGTTATGAGCCGTTTTCCAAAGGACACTCAGGGACAGAACAGCTAGGTATACTGCTGAGTAAAATGCTCTAGCAGAGCTGTGCGGCCACAGCTGGTGAACTGAACAGTAAGGTGAGAGTACTGGCAAAGCTGTGCACAGCTTCAGAAAATGAGAGGTCATGTTTTTAGGCATCTTCTCAGCATCTAGCATGATAAAAAGTAGAACTAGCCAGGCTCTTCTGATCCTGAAAATGTGAATTCATACATAAGCGTACATAAATAAGGGTTTTATTTTCACCTACTAACTAAAATTATAATATAACTAAGAATAATAAAAACATTTTCCAAAGGAATATTAATTTTCTACAAATACATTTAACTGAGAAATAACAAAAAGCAAACCCAACCTTTTCAATTGTATCTACGGCACATTGAAGATATCCTCATAAACTTCACTTTCTACAGACACTAGATGTGTAGCTCACAGTAACAAGGCTGCTTCTCTCCTACAAGACTCTTTCCCCCAACCCTCTCTCTCCTTACCATGAATAATATGGAAAAAAAAAACTTCAGTTGCTTCTACCTGTTGTGAGACCTTTCTTCCTTTTCTCTTCACTAGCAGCCTGCTCCAAGAACGCACAGTGGTGTTACATTGCCATCATTCTGTACTTCTTTGCAGTGATTCTATTCATCACTGTGATCCTCTTAGCAGTGAATTGTTGAGACAGAAGATGTGGTTCTGCTGAAAAATGGGGTAAGACATTTATATCCATATTTGTGTTTTCATTTAACACTTTCACACTATCAGAAGAGGTACAAGGAAGCATCCTATCTGTATGATAAAGTTTCTGTGAAAAATCCAGTCAGCCAGCAATTCAATGTCACACTGGATAATATCTAGCTCCCCGCTGATGATTCATGGTGCACTTAACTGAGCACAAGTTAGCCAAGAGCTTTGACAGAACTGCCTTTCAGAGCAGGTCTTCAATTTTGCCTCATTATTTAACATAGGCACCTCTCAGTCGTGTATGGAAATAACCCCACCATCCTGCTGTGAAACAAAGCTAATAAGTTGCTGGTGTAGATGGTGGGAATACCTCCAATGGCTGCTCAGGCCAGGATGAACAGGGACCAGCTGAAGTGTCATGAGACAGACAAGCTGTGTTGATCAGTCTGACATTTGAAGACCTAAAGAATAAGATTTTCAGAGAAAATCTTCCCATCCACATCCAGTGCTACCAGGCTCCTCCAAGGGCAGCATTGGAAAAGTAATGTCACCTTCATGCTAACGTAGTTGATATGGCATGTGTGGAGAAAAAAGAGCAAACATAAGCATCCATGCCTATCTCATGTTAAAGCTTTTTGGGAATCTTTTGGTAAATCACTTGGGAAAAGAACATGTTGCATGGAAAGCAGACCTAGAATTAAGACACACTCCTTGTGTCTCCCTGGCAGCTGTCAAATCTGTGCTGAAGACACCATTTTAGATCCTTTGCCAGATGCAGTGTCCCTGCCACTGAGCAGAATTCTCCTCACTGCATCTAAATCACAACATGAGGGGCAGTGGCTCACCAATCATAATTGCTCTACCAGACCTCCACTTCAAGGCATGGCACATTTACCCGTGGTCCCCATGACGCACAAGTGCCTTTCCTTTACTCAAGAGGATCCTTCAGTAAGATGAATATTATTAGTTATGTTTGTTTTTGTTTTGTTTTTGTTTTTCAAGGAAAATCAGATCAGAAAAGCTCTGCTTCTTCAATAAAACAAGACAAGATGTTTACTACTATGTTATTTCCTCTGCATAGAAGAAGACATGCTGACAGCCTGGCCACTCTTCAGTTACTTCTTCCAGGATTTTCACGAAACCTTTAACCTCTCTGTAGATAGGAAAAAATATATTATTGATGTAATAATAGCAGCAACCATCACATGGTATCAGTGCGTGTAACAAGGTACTAACTCAAGCTACTGCATCATAAATTGGATCTTAATCTTAATAAACACAAATGACAAGGACGACCCATTTGAAACATCACTTTTACTGCAACAACTTGATTTTACAGTAATCTGCCATGTAGATAAGCTTTTAGATTTTGATATGACCAAGTGCAAAAACGAATGTTTAAAATAGAGGATATGAATGGTTGTACTAAAAATTTTTTATGAGATCCACACCTGTATGTGATTTTTATTGTTCTGATGGCTTTTGGTGGGATTTATAGGAGTGGGATATTGAAGATGAAGGAAGTCCATTAGTTCATCAGAAAAGTCTCAGTCTCATTCCCCCATGGGCATGAATAAAATTATTCTGTTCTGCTTGTCCAGAGGAGTGTCTCACAGAGTCACAGTATGTTGGTTCTGTCTTGGAGCAGTAATTCATCTTTTGTTTCCATTTTTTTTTCCACAATGAAGTAGCTTCAGTTAAGTCAGAGTCCTTCACTAGAATATACCAGCTCAGATTCAAACAAATTTGTTTATAATCATGATTTCATTTTTCATTATTTTGAATCCTCATCCATTATAATTTCTCTGAGACATGCTGATATCAATGATTTGCAGTTCCTGAGTAGAAGGGACCATACAGTATAGCAAATTTTTGTAGAATTGCTCCCTATGCCTAAGCTTTTCTGTACTTAGGCCATGCTGTTGCTGTTGATAAGTCTCTATGTTTTTATAATATATTTGCAAGAAATCAGTAAAGAAATTTAGTAAAGCACTTGACATACTCATGTTTGTTCTTGCAGTAGTCAGACATATAGCAAATGTATGACTGCAGTGCTTCTGAGCTGTTGTCATGAAGCAAGGTGCTGATCTGATAAGGACTGTCTAAAGACAGAATCCCTGCCTCACAGTGCAAAGCATCAAAAGACTGGCAGAAGAAAATGATTACATTTTTCTTGAGATTATTCTTTCACTTGCCTGGTGCTGTGGGATAAATCCAGATCCAGAAAAATGTAAAAAAAAAAAAAGATAAAAAAAAGAAATGGTGGCAGGAGACTTTGGACATGAAATTGACCCACATATTGTTGTTCTTCACTGCACTTACCTGACTTTAGCTGGAAGATTCTCTCACATATACTCCCAGATAGCCCCTACAGCTAAATCAAATTTCCGGACTAAATTAATTAGTTCCAGCTTTCTTAAGATGCAAGAAAATTTCTGCAATCTTCAAGAGCCACAGTAATGTAGTTTTGCATATATATATATGACATGTGCAATCGTAGCAGATAAAAAAGGAAACAGAGGCAGAAATCATAGTTCCTGGCATTCAAGCCCTTCCAAAGACAAAGTCATCATTTCAGAATGAGGCAGCTTCACAGGAAAGTGAATGCACAGATGCTAAATATACAAGCAAGAATAGGGATATGCATATCAGGACCAATTCGAAACCATCACTTATTTTAAGCCCAACAGGATGTTGTGCAGACAACCAGGTCTCTAGTTACGACAAGCAAATCTTTGGCAATTTCAGTGGCAGAGCCTAGCATCTAAGAAATGCACTGCATAGACACCTGAGTAAGAAGCATGCATATGATGCTCTGTATGTTGCTCTGCAACTCTGAAGGAGATCAAGTAGTTTGTTTAAAGTGAGGAGTAACAAACTTCTAAAAATTGAAGCGACTGTTTTTGCTGGTTACTGAGAAATCAGCACGCTGACTTGTGGTTTTGACAGTGAGCCCACTACACCATTTAAGGCAAATTTAACAAACTTTGGTCTGATCCTGCTCTCAACCACATGGTTCTTAGACACAGTCTGAGGGGGAAATAGCCTATCATGGAATCGGTAGAAAAAGGCTGCCTGGTCATTGGTTATATACACATTACATATGTTATATATAACACGTGACTGTAAACCTGACATGAGAGAGCTGCCACTTTCCTTTGTTCTTCATCCCTTTAGCTTTCCCTGGAGATTGTTTGATTCCTCCTCCTTCTCTGCATTTTCTTTCCCTTTTACTTCAGGAATATCGTATAGCCTTAAGTGACACTCATTCATGCTCAGGACGAGGGGAAATGGTTTTAAGTTGAGGGAGGGGAGAAATTCTTTACCCAGAGAGTGGTGAGGTACTGGAACAGGCTGCCCAGAGAGCTTGTGGATGCCCCGTCTTTGGAGGTGTTCAAGGCCAGGTTGGATGGGGCCCTGGGCAGCCTGATTTAGCATTAAACGTGGAGGTTGGTGGCCCTGCATGTGGCAGGGGGGTTGGAGATTCATGATCCTTGAAGTCCCTTCCAGCCCTGGCCATTCTGTGATTCTGTGATCCTGTGATTCTATGATTTTTCTGGCTTTTCAGTCATTCTCTTAGCCCTTGCTGTTAACCATCATCCCTTTTGTTCATGGACACTGTGATGTATACATGAAGACTGAAGAAGATAATTAAAAGAATGCAAATACATCATTACAAGGATGCCCTTTATATAACAGCACCAAACAAATATTTTAGGACCTTCGTCAAAGGAAATATAAAAACATCAGAAGACTCCTAACATAGGACTAACATACTCCTAACATAGGACTAGCTTCAAATATTTTTATTCAGAAATTCATCACTCTCTTTTTAAAAACTGCAGGATGGGAATAGAAGGGACAATAGTTAGTCAGTAGAGTGAGGTGCTACTCTTCATCTTTTCAACCCTGCACCTCTTCTTCCCTAGATAACCAAAATCTAAGCTAGTAGAATAGTCAGCATTCAGGCCTTGCTAGCATTAGTCTTTATTGCATCAATTCCTGAGAAAAACTGTAATGGTACTTCTCCAGAAAGCAACAGAATGCATTTGAGATGGAAAAATTTTGTTAGAAAAAGCCCTCTTTCCTACATTGGCCAACGTAGGAAATCATCCCAGAGCAGTCATCCCTGCAGGCAGGAAAATTTCAAGGAGGGGAGAATCTTATCACAGTTGTGCCTTGCTTTAATGCATACAGAAAATGAGAGATAGGAGTGTATCCTTCCCTTGGCAGTGAGAGAGTCATGGTGCATCCTTGTAGGTCTTTCAGTATAAGTGCTTGGGAGACCAAGGATCTGGTCCTTTCTAAACCATGAACTTCTATGAGCAGTAATGATTTTTTCAACCTTCTCATAGAGTGTGTTTGCCTGCAACTGAGTATTTGGTGTGCATGTTCTGGAGATGCAAGTGCATAGCACACTGAGGAGTCATCGCCTTTTCCATAAAACAGACACAGACATGGATGTTTACTGCATGATGGCAAGAGTCACCTCAGCCATGGAGAAGAGATTGGTGACAATGAAATCCAGATTGGCTTTGGTCTCCCACTGGCATTTGAGCTGCAGCAGCCAGCTGTCTATCACATACTTCAGTGAGAAGTCTGAGCTGCAAGTATCAACATAAATATTCCTGGCATTTCATAGGCAAAACTGTCGTACTTATCTAGCCTCAATGTCTTGTCATCTCCTCCATGAAGTATGACAGCCTGTACTCACAAAACTGGCCCAAACATAAACAGGAGTGGAATAAACTCTTTCAAAGGGCAAGACACAAGCAGTGTGAGATTACCTCTCCCAGATGGCTCAACACAGGTATTTCTCTTACATCTGCAATTAAATATATCTCAGATTTAATACCTGACAATGTCAAAGACTCCATCACTTCTCAGACTTGAAAAGGTAAAACTCATGTAGCTCTTCCTAAATGACAAAATATACTGTGGCCCACTGTCTTCGAGATGAATCAGCAAACAACTTATCCGCATAGCTGGACACTCCATATAAGCAGTCTTTCTATGATGTGACAGACTTGAGTCATTTTGAATTTTCATTTACTGTTACAGGAAGGTTCATTAAGGAGGAGGACATTCTTGAAGAACCAGGCAGAACTCATTCTCTCTAGGCCCTGTCTGTTACAGGAGCTTCATTCAAGATAGCGGTAATGCTAGAAAAGGAGACAATACTACTGGTTTTGTTCATAACTTCTCCAATAAAACACAAGGTAGCCTAAGTTAGTTCTGCTGTGTTTCTTGACAGTTCTGGTGAATTTAAGTCACCTTCAGCCTGTGTTGAACTGAAAACTAGTTCTGAACCCTGAAGTCTACAACAGACTTGGGTCCTGAGCTCAGATGAAATCTTCTGAGCTGTTTAAGCTCATTTTTATAGTTCTGGTCCACTTTTTCTTGTTTTTGACAAGTAAACTAGTCTAATATCTGGGGGTGCAAGTCTGAGAGTCCGCTTTTGTGTAACACACTGTAGGGATCCTGCTTTAGCAGGGAGTTGGAATAGGTGATCTCCCCTCCAACACCTACAATTCCATGATTCTGTAGAAACCACAGACTTTAAAAACTGGCCTTGACCTTTTACATAATTTTCCTCTCGAATTCATTTCCTTATGTATGGTCAATATAATAAAATAATTTCTAAGCTGATTTCAATATGTACATTCATTATTAACTCTCAGTCATTTTCTTGTAACAGTGGCCAAACTGCTCCACAGCCTTTTAACTAGATGCCATTTAACTTAAGAACCAAATGATGACTTCTTGAGGGTCAGGCCTCATGCTCATTCAATTGCTCTGGAATAGAAAATCAGATGATAATCAGCAGCAAATAACAAAACACAGGTTCAAAAGCCAAAGTAGTGAAACAATGCAAAACTTGATATAATAAGAGATGAAGCTGAGACAGAACTGCAGACATGTAAGCCCTGGATAATTTATAGTTCTCAGCCCTGAAGTGCAGGCTGGCTGCACATTCTCTCCGTTTTTAGCAATTGCATGTGGCTTAGTAACAGTACAGAAATGCACAGAGAAACATAAGTTTTGTCCTGAGATTCTAGGGCACTTCATAGACCACTTCTCGGAGAGTGGAGTACACACAGAACTCTCCATTTTCTCTTGCTTCTTATTTTAAATCTCAGTTGCAACTTTGGTTCAGATAATCAATCAGCTCCAAGAAAAAAGCATTGTTACAATCATTTAAAATGTTTTATGGTTAAGAAGAGATGAATAAAAAGCAAATGCAACATATGTACCATAACACAGTGAATTGACAGTTCCTCATTCTGCTCAGAAATGTGACTGATGCTTTCTAAACTAACTTGCCTTGTGGCAAAAGCAGGCCTGTGAACACAGGCCATTCTGTATCCATACTGTGAAGAAGAAAGGCATGGAATAGTGCAAGTCCATATATGTTACATTGCCAGATGTAGAATAAGGCAATCCCCAAGACTAATGCAGGTTTTGCAGAGAAGCCAGTTAGTGGCATGTCTGTTTTACAGATCTTGCTACTTAAGCTCTCTTTTTTCAGACTTACCCCAGCTCTTTACACTTCAGGACAATCATACAGCCTATAAACCCAAAAATCAAGCCACAGGCAAA